CACAAAAAGTATTCTCGTAGCTTCACAAAATTGAAGTTGCATCACTGATGTCACATGGACTGTTTTACCGATGTCCTTACTACGTTTCTGGACCTGGGAACATTACAGTTGCGTTGCTGTCTATGGAGGGTCAGAGAGCTCTCAGATTCCATCAAAAATATCTTAAATTGTGTTCAGAAGATGAACGAAGGTCTTACGAATTTGGAACGACATGAGGGCGAGTAATTAATGACAGAATTTTCATTTTTGGGTGAACTATCCCTTTAACTGTAAGAAAGGGGCGGAGTTTAAGCAGCCTGAATGATTGGAGAAGCCCAGCGTACATCACCAGAGAGGATTCTGACGTTTCAAGAGCTATCACATTTTATTAAAAGGTATAAGCTCAATTCTTTTTTTTTTAGAATGAAAGTTGTGAAACATGAATGAATTTTTCCGAATTAGATCAATAACAAGCATTTAGAAAATAGGCTGAATTTCCATTTCATGTCAACTTTAAGAGCGAAGGAATGAGTTAAAAGAGGACGAAAAAGAGAGTGGGAAAATGTGGCAGCGAATATCAGCACACAGCTTTCAGACCTGATCTGAATGATCTATTCTCCATGGTAACACCCTGAATGGAGAGCAGGGAGTGCTGGGAACGGAAGTCAACAAAATCTGCCTTGATTTATGAAGCAAGTGAGGCTCTTTCCCAAGAGAATATTACCATACACCGCAAGTGGCAATATACCTTTAACTGTAAGAAAGGGGCGGAGTTTAAGCAGCCTGAATGATTGGAGAAGCCCAGCGTACATCACCAGAGAGGATTCTGACGTTTCAAGAGCTATCACATTTTATTAAAAGGTATAAGCTCAATTCTTTTTTTTTTAGAATGAAAGTTGTGAAACATGAATGAATTTTTCCGAATTAGATCAATAACAAGCATTTAGAAAATAGGCTGAATTTCCATTTCATGTCAACTTTAAGAGCGAAGGAATGAGTTAAAAGAGGACGAAAAAGAGAGTGGGAAAATGTGGCAGCGAATATCAGCACACAGCTTTCAGACCTGATCTGAATGATCTATTCTCCATGGTAACACCCTGAATGGAGAGCAGGGAGTGCTGGGAACGGAAGTCAACAAATCTGCCTTGATTTATGAAGCAAGTGAGGCTCTTTCCCAAGAGAATATTACCATACACCGCAAGTGGCAATATACAGAGAGCAAGAAAAGCAATCAAGTGCCTGACAGCTCATTCTAAACATGGGAATCACTGAATATCATGTCAGTATGATGGAATTTAACTAGTACTGCTTTAAGGCTGTGACAAACTCTCTCTAGGAGCTATATTAAGAGTAAGGGGTCAATCCCTGGTCTTTAGCTGCTTAATGTCATCGAGAGAGACCTCAAGCTTTCTGAGAATCAGAACAGAGCACGCTCAGTCTTAACAGCCATTTGTTCATCTTTTCATTGCCCACACAATAATTATAATTATTGCCCACACTGAAAAGATCTGTTTCCCATAAAGTAGCTGTCATCACTGCTGAAGTCACTGTTCAGTTCAAAAAAGAAATGACTGAAATCACAGCAAATCCCCAGAGAAACCAGATGAACTTAAAAGCACAGGAGTGCGAAAATGTCTTTGTCTGAGAGAATTTACAGCATCAGGAAATCAACTGTGGAACAGATGTGAAATATTCGGCTGGAAATACAATTTGTATCACATTTGACCATATTTATTAAATCTAATAACATAAAATACATTTTCTATGATTTTTTGTTTTATTATATTAATATAGTATTCATAAATACATAAATAATAGCTTGTTGCTCAGTTTGTTAAAAAAGAAAACGCATTTAAAATAACACACCCACATTTATTTCTGTTATAAATATTACTCAAGGTAACAATTAATATGTCCCAAATGATATTAAAATAGTAAAAATACAAAAATAGTATACCAGTATTTCGTGCTTTGCTTTTTTGGACTAATATTGTCCATAACCCCTTGCGTTAGTTAGGTAATAATGAATGAATGAATTCAGATGCAGACACCACCAGTGGGGGGAGGGGTGTCAGGGTGTTGGCATCACCTACAGTAATACAGTAATGTAAAACATTAATTACATGAATGCATTATTATAATAAATTAATAATTTACAATTTGGTAACACTTTATTTTAAGGTGTCCTTGTTACAGGTTGCATGTACTCACTATTATAATAACAATTAATTATGCATAATTCCATGCAAGTAACCCTAAGACAAACACTAATCCTAACCCTAACCATAAAGTGAGTGCATGTAGTTAATTAATATTACTCAGTACTTAAATGTAAAATTACACTGTAACAAGGACACCTTAAATTAAAGTGTAACCCATAATTTTATGATGGTACCGGTATACTGTATTATTACATACTTTCCTATTGCAAGCAAATTGCATAACTTTAGTGTGTAGTGTAAGTATGTGGATTGGGATACACCCAGAATTTGGTGGATTTTTAAGGGCGTTTTTTATTCTTGGAGAGCTTTTAGCACTTAGTGCTTGAGGTCTGGAGTAGTTTAAATTATAATTTTGAGATGTTTTTTTTTTTGAGTCAGATAAACTTCTATGTATTAATTATACAATTTGCACAAGAAACAGTGCTTTAAATAGTGCTTTACAAATTTTTTTTTCACATAGGGCTGGGCGATATAGCTAAAAAATGTATCAACGATATGTTTCATATCGTTCGGTATCGATAATTATTGACATTTTTTATAACCTTTTTTAAAACAAAGAGCAATAGAAAAAAAAAAAACGTTTAACCACTGTATTTTTAAATTAACCCAATTTATTGAGACAAACAACAAATATTTTTTTGTTTTAACAGTCAAACACAAAATAAAAATTAAACAAATATCTAATTTCTAATGTTTTATATGCAGATTAAATAGGTCTGAAGGAAACTTTTGGCTTGTCTCCCGAAGCCACAGGAGGGTGCCATGAGCAAAATAATGCAGCGCATTAAATTACCAACGCAAAGGAAATAACTGTCTATAAAAAGAAAAACGTGCATTACGTCTAAATTAACTCATATAAATCAAACATAATTTCGTAAATTGCATAAACAATTATGAACAAAACAGCATAATGTATTTATGCATTGCTTAATACAAAGAGCCAAATCGCCCATCACACAGATTGCCTTTAAAAACATATGAGATGCAGTGAAACGGAATAAACCTCCACAAATTCGTGACGCATTTTCTAAAAGTTTAAACTGTTTTAACTTTGCATGGCTTTCTATACATCTCTTGTGTGAGACGTGAGAGCAGCAGTCATATTTTGTCCGTCTAAAAAAATGCACTGAATATGCGTTCTGGTTTCGGTTTTAAAGGGGTCATATGATGCGATTTCAAGTTTTCCTTTCTCTTTGGAGTGTTACAAGCTGATTGTGCATAGATAAGATCCCTGAAGTTGCAAAGACTAAAGTCTCAAAACCAAAGAGATATTCTTTATCAAATGTAAGACTCTGCCACGCCCCCCTAAAACCTAAATATCTACCTCACTATGTGGAAATATTTGCATAATGCCGCCGTTGCGGTGTTCGGCCAATCACAATGCACTGGGTCAGCTGGCCAATCAGAGCAGACTGCGCTTGTCGGAAGGAGGGACTTTGTAGAAAACGAAGCGTTTGAGAGAGGCGGGGCATAGAGGACCTACAATAATGTACAGTATTTGAAAAATAATGTGTTTTTTGAACATTAAAGCATGTCAACATATTGTGTTACACCAAATACACATAATAATGATCTTTAAAGCCCATCTCGCGCTCCACTAATGACGCTCCCAGACGCACACCTAACATTTGATTGTACTATTTTTGCATTCAAATGCTAATATTCTTTTTTTTAATTCACAATCTCCTCATCACAGGCAGGCACAGCACTCAATTCATGTGTTCGTGTTTGTGTGTCACTCATAGCACGTGCCTATATCGTGCGCTATATCGAACATTTTTTCTATCGTTCTCGAAGAGGGTGTACCGTCGATAAATATCAATACCGTTTTATCGCCCAGGCCTAATTTCACGTCACTTCCAATCCTTGTTATGTTATCCTAATGTGGATACCTATCAGTGTGATAATCAAACATTGTAAATGGTTACTCACTTGCCTGCTAGCGAAAAACATGTTTTTCATAAATTTGTGATAACAAAGAGACAAGTTGAAATTGGCACCTGTGGCTTGTTGTCGATTATCACAGAAAATCTGTGTATATATTACAGAACATTGCTTTAAAGGATCATAACAAACTTTTCAAGAACTATAATTAACACTGTTTGAGTCAATTATGTGTGTTAGGCATGCATTGTGTCCTCATTCCCATGCTCACCTTCTCCAGACTGACTCCAGTCCTCTTGACCAGCGCTTGCAGACGAGCTATGGTTTGGTTTTCTCTCAGCAAGTACGAGTTGAGCGGTGAGCCGGCCAGGTTGCCGTTGCGCTTGTCAGAAGCCATGTCACCCGAGCGGAAGACCCTGAGCTTGCTCTGGCCCTCGCTGCACTGTGGCTTTGCCTCTGAAGATATGCCGAAAGCCAACAGAACCTCCGAGATCTCCTGGATGAACTCCAGCTTGTTGGGGAACTGAGGCAGGTCCTCAGGTAGCTCGATAAAGTGGTTGTCAATATCGACAAAACAAAGGTTGGCCTGAAGGGTACAAGTGTCATTTCATTACAAACATTGATTTATGAGATTATGTAAAGGAGAGATTATGAACTTCCATCTCTGTTTACCAGAGGACAAACTAACCAACCAAAGACAAAGTACATTTTTTAAAAGGGCACATTGCAGTGATCCATCAGAGATGGTTTTTCCTGCACGTTGGTGATTTCTTTCATAAGCACTAAAAGAAGAAAAGTGCCACTGTAGCTGAAAAATGTTTGATAGAAGATTTACTCCAAAGGAAAAAGGGAACTCCACATGAAAAGCTGACTTTGTTTAAGGTAGATGAAGAAGGACGAGAAGGATTTCAAAGGGAAATATTATTATTCTGTACTCTGAATAATATACTCCAGAATGTATTTTACAGTTACATTCATATTTCTATAGTATTATAGCTATATATGGTATACAGTATATAATACTCAACTAAACTTATTTGGACATCACGTATTGCTAAAAATTTTAATAGCATCTCTGTTTTATACCCCAATAGAAAAATTGCAGATAGTTTTG